CCACTATGGAAACCAATGTGGAGATTCTTCAAAAAGCTATAAACCCATGCACCATTTAATCCAGCCATACCCTGGGAGTGTACCCCAAAGACGCTATACCCAACTACATAGATACCTATTCCGCCATGTTCATTGCTGCCTTTTCATAATAGACAGGAATTAGAAACAACCTACATGTCCATCAACTAATGATAATGAAGGTGTGGTACATAATGGAATGTTATTCGGCTCTTGAAAAAAGATGAAATCATGAAATTCGCAGGTAAATAGATGGAACTGGAAACAATCATACTGAGTGAGGCAACCCAGACCCAGAGAGACAAACAGCATATGTTCTCTCTCACAGTTGGATTCTAGCTTTGAAATATTAGATATGTATGTTTCAGTTTGAAAATCCAGAGAGGTCAGGAAACAAACACACACACACACACACACGGACGCACGCATGCATGCACACACAAACACTCTTTAAATAAAAAAAATAGAAAGGAGTACAACCTAAAAATTTGGAAAATATTCAGCTGTTCATTGCAGCATTCGAATAAAAGGAAGCATGTAGCATGATCCTGTATTAATTTAAAAAGAATAAATTAATAAAATGGGCATTGCTTATTGTGAGAAAATCCCACGTGAATAGATTGCTGCCCTACAACCTGGTGAAATTACTCTGAAAAAAAAGTGGCAGCAAACATAAAGCCATAAAAATTAATGTACATTTTGACCTAGAAACCCAACTTTTTGGCATATATCCCAGGGATATGATATGATTCAAAGTAAATTTTTAAAAATCTATTTGTATGACAATGTTTAAAGTTGTGCTACATTATAAGCAAAACCTGGAAAGAGCCCAAATACTCAGAAGAGAGAGGATGCTTAGGCAGATTTTTGTATGTTCCTGCAATGAATATTTTATTTCTACTAAGAATGACAAACATGAAAACTATGTAGAAATAAGGACAGGGCCATGTGGAGCACTGAATAAAATGGTCAGACCTTGAAGTGATGCATATACAGAGATCACATTTATGTAAAATTATTTCTGTACAACCAAGGGACCTGGGAACGGCTACAAGCTGGGAATTTACAATGCTAACATTTTGTTTTTGATAGTTCAAGTTTCTGGGATGTTTGTGCCTTTCTACTTATACTTCACTACATATTTAGTGCACATACATTGAGAAAAAGAAATCTCCATTTTTTTGGCACATAAAAGTAAACACGTTTCTCCCAGTATCTCTCCTTGCCCTCACAGACTTTCTCTGTCTTTTGCATTCTATTTTATGTTTAGGATATGGAGGAAGTGGGGCCCTCCCTTTGCCGCCACAAAGCCCTGGCCACATGCTATGCCCGAGTTTTTCTTGCTTAAAAAAACACCTGAGAGAGATCAATTAAAGGAGGGATGGTTCATTTCAGCTCTTGGTTTCAGAGGTTGCAGTGTGCGGCTGGCTGGCTCCACCGCTTGTAGCCTGAGGTGAGGCAGAATATCATAGTGGCTGAGGAGCAGAGAAAACAGGAAATGGCCATGGCAAGGTATAGTCCCAAGAGCATCCTCCCCACTTGATTCCTCCTACTAGACCTCACCTTTTAACAGCACCTCCTAAGATAGTGCCACCATCCAGGGACCAACCCTTCAACACGAGCCTGTGAAGGGACAGTTCATATTCAAATAACAGCACCTGCTATTTTCTTTCACCTTTATTATTGTGTACAGGTTTGTCTAGCATCCCAGCTTGTATGCATTCCTGTTTGTGTTGCATACACAAACTCAATGTCTGAACTATACTCGCTGTGGTGGAGGCTGAGGCTCCTCCTAAGTATGACTTTTAAAAGCTCTTACACAGAAAAATATTTGTTTCTTACTTTTAATTACCCTGGAAGAACAGTCCTCTAAACAAGGTCAGTCACACTAACCTTGAAAGACATCTCAGTTTGGCTACTGTCCCCCTTTCTTCTAGGTATACCTTAACCTACAAACTTGTTCTACTCCATCCCACACTGAAGGAAGAAAATGTCATCCTCTTCCTTGATCACACATTTCCCTTCAGTTTCCTGGTTTTATTCACAGTAAAAATGATCCTAAGAGCTCTTATTCACACCACTGTTGCAATTACTCACTCTCCACTATGCAAACTGTTGAAACTCAACTTCAGTTCCTCCTCCCCTGAACTGCCTCTCAAGGTCCTAAGAGCCCCCACACTGCCAAACCCAAAGGCACTTTTCTGTCATCCTGCCAGTCGACCTTCTAACTTCTTGGTAGCATTCTCTCCCTTTATTCCAAAGTGCCTTTTCTTTGTGCACTCTCTTTCTGCTCTCACCAGTTTCCTTACTTCAGACACACGGGCTCCCCAGGCTCTCTCCTAAGCTCCCGCCCTGCTCTTTCTATACACTAATGTATCTTTAGTCCCATGGCCTTAGGGCTCATTTTCATGCTAAAACCGCCCAAAGTTAATATCTCTAGCAGAGAACTTGATCCCTCTTTGAATGATACTTTTGATATCTGTACTTAGATCCAGAGCATGAAAACAAAAATCACAATCTGTTTCCAAAACCAGTTGTCCCATCTGCTCATCTTGGTAAATGATATCAGCTATTTACCTATAGATTCTTATGTCACACCTCCATAACTCACCTGATGTCCACTCTGTCTGTGGACTCATCTCCAGCTGCCACCACTCTGCTCTAGGTCACTATCATTCCCCCCCCCTGTGTTACTACAGCGATCTTCTCATGGCTTTTCCCTCCAACCCATTTTCTAGAGTATAGACAGGATATTTTTCATATAATAAATCTAATCATTTCTTTCTACAATTTAAAATATTGTCATCCTGAATGCACTTAGAAGGAGCTGCAAACCCTTCGTTATACCTGTCAGCCCCTATATAACACCTTTCTTTGTTACCTCTTTGACACTCTCTAACCAACCTAGCCACTTTTCCTACTCAGGGTCTTTGTGCATACTTTTCATTCTGAAAATAGATAAATAAAAATAACCCCTGACACTGTTCACTTCTCACTTTATGTAGCCAACTCTTAGTCACTCTTTAGATTATACCACAATACCACTCTTCTTCTTACATCACTTCTTTCCATGACTTCCCTAATTCATTGAAACCACGGCACTTATTAATTCATCCAACCACACACTTCTTCACACTGTTTCAGTTTTCAGCCTCTGACTAATGCCCGTGTCTCTCCTAACTCAGTGTTGCTCCAGAAGGGCAAAGACTGTATCTGTTTGTGTTTATTATTATTCTCAGTGCCTAGTATGGTACTTAGAACATAGCTGTGGAATGAATAAAATAATTGATACAGTCTCATGCTACTGAAATGATACTGTAGGTCATACGAGAAGACATTAATCGAATCATTACAGAAAAAGAATGTCTAAAAATATTTATATAGACTTAAAGGACAGAGTGGTTGGCCTTTCTTATGAATATGTGAAGTATGAAAAGGTACAACATATGTGATCTTTTAACATTTTATTTCTTTTTATTTTATGTGTATGAATGTTTTGCCTACATGTATGTAAGTGCATCCATGTGTGCAAACCTGCAGAGGCCAGAAGAGGGCAATGGATCCTGTGGAACTAGAGCCATCTCTTCAGCCCCTATGTGATCTTTATAACACTAACTACAACAGGAAAAACCCCTTCATCTCCATCCTACTCCCCACTGCACAGACATAGCATACTTTCAAAGTTCACTGAAAGTTTGCAAAAGGAAGCCCACAGCTGTATTTTTGAGTAGGGATTAAGATCACAAAGTTTTTCAACAAAAAAGGAAGGAAATTGCTCCTGTGCAAGAAAGGGAGAAAAGAGAAGAGGAGAGGAGAGGAGAGGAGAGCTCGGAGGGCTTGCCCTGACCCTTGGGAGAGGCGGGCCGCGGCACGGCACGGCATGGCATGGAAGGGGAGGGGATGGGATGGGAGGGGAGGGCAGGAGAGGAGAGGACAGGAGAGGACAGAAGAGAAAGGAAGCAAAAATAAAATTTCAGTGCTGGTGCATACTTTCAATCCCAGCACTCAGGAATCAGAGGCAGGCAGATCTCTGTGAGATTGAGGCCAGCCTGGTCTACATAGAGAGTTCCAGGCCAGATGGGGCTACAGAGAGACCCTGTCTCAAAAAATATGTCAATGACTTACAAAAAGATAAAAAAATGCCTAACATTAAATTTCACATTGTTGACATTACGGTGTAAATCCCTCTGCCTTCCCAGACCTTCAGAATTGACTGGTATGCTCGTAAGTTCAGACCAAGACCAAGTAATCAGGAAAGGGGGCATCACAGGAGCCATCAAGACATATAGCTTCTCAGTTTTCCCTTTCTTTTTATCTCTGTTTATGTTTGTAAGGCATTCTCCAACTTCACTTACTCTATTTACTTTATTGGAAAACATCTTAACATCTGTGAATTATAGGAATAACTATTCCTAATCTAGACTTGGACAACATGCCAACGTGTAACATGTATCTTGGTGCACAGGGAAGTATGTTCAGGAATGGACTCCTGAATCTCCTAACCTCATTCTTCCTATTCTTCTAGCTCCAGCCATTTCTCCCCTTTGGGCCTCACATTAAACATATATCTATACTCAGTCTTCCCCACACTACCATGGCTCCCTTCAAGTAGAAATTCTACCTCTAATTTATTGGCAACAAATTCATGGTCAGGCATTTCTTCCAGCCCTGCATATTTGGACCTAATCTGCCTTAACTTCTCCATTATTATTACCAGAACTGAGTTAGAGAACAATGTATTGTGTCTAATCCATCCTAGAGATTGAGATTGAAATATGCCTGCCTCCCACCACCCTCTCCTGACTGATGAGTTCAGTCAGAGAGGAGTTTTCCTATCATTTGATGATGAATCCCTGTTGAGAGGAGAAAGCCGCTATGAAAAAAACCTTCCCTTTCTCCTTAAGACTGAAAATATCCAGAAAAAATAAAAATACTTCATTTAATGAGCAATGTTGTAAGGGCAACTCATTAATCTGACCTACCCATCTAGGAGAGCAATGACGTTCTTCCTGGGCCGTCCAATATTAGGGCCATACAAGCTGGCTCTGGAGTAAATCCGGATGGGTTGTAGCAGGCTCTTCAGCTGGATATAATCCTTTCCCAACTGGCTACCATTTACTGCCCGGCCATGCATGCTCCGATAGTTGTTTGGCTCTAGATTACAAACAGACATAGAAGTTAGAATTGAGGATGGCAAGGCTCTGCCAGCCCTTTCCTTTCTACAGGTCTGTACATTTTTCTTAGTAGCATGAAAAATAGCAGAAAAGAAGATGCAAATTTTCTTAAGAAACATCCAATCAAGTTAGTAGTGCCATCTTGCTCTTCCAATCATTTTTAAACTTATCTTCACAAAATATCACCCAATTCACAGAAGAGACTATACTTATTTTCAGGTGATAATTCATAATGAATTACCATTCATTACCAGATAGAATACTGCTCCCCAAATTTATGTACACCAGAACTTCTGAATGTGACCTTATTTGGAAATAGAATCCCTGAAGATGCAATGCTAAGATGTAGTCACTGAAGTAGGGTAGGCCCTAAATCTAATAACTGCTGTCTTATTATAAAAAGGAGAAGATAGCATGGAAGTACAGCTTTGTCAGTAAACAATATTCAAAAGTTATAGTAGACATACAGAATTTTGAATTTATATTCTAAGATATAATTACATATTTTTTTAGTTTGAAAATTACATCAGTTTAGTTATTATAGTAATTTCTATTTCTTTTTTTTTTAACTTCCAAAACTGTAATTTTTTTCTCTAGAAGTTCAACCAGGGCATACGAAGGCATACCGGGGCTGTAGGAGAGTAATGTGAAATTTGTCACTGTTGCTACAACGTGAGTTTGTCACTCACTCCCTTCTCAAATTCTCCACTTATACAAAGTCTTTCCATGTACTTATGTCACTTCTTAAAGAAAGCAATGCTAATAAAATATTTTTAAATAAGAAAAGAAGAAAAAAGTTTAGATATGCAGACACACAGGAAAGAATGCTCTCTGATAACAAATACAAAGGTTGGAGAGATGTGTCTGTGCTAAGGAATTCTGGCATCTTCCAAAAGCTAGGCGAGAGGAATGGAATAGATTCTCCTTCAGAGCTTCCAGAAGGAACACCCTACTGATGTTTTGATTTCAGATTTCTGGCTACATAAACTGTGAGAGAATTAATTTCTTTTGTTTTAAGCCACAGTAATTTGTTATGCAAAACTTAGGAAACTAATACAAAGGGTAAGAAGGGATACCTTCATAAAATGATCTGAGTAAAAGACACCACGAGTTAGAAAAACAAACAAACTGGACGTGCATTACTAACAAAGTAGCTGAGTGAAATAATTTTGAGTAAATGCCTCTTCCCCAGCTTTAGCTCTCAAAGGATATGCGAAGGACTAAGGACTAATAGCTCTACTGCAGGAGTTGGCAAACTAGGCTTGGAATGGAATACATGTCCAAGAAAGCCATCATCTCAGATGGCTGGAAGCTATGATTCTGGTATGGATGGGATGTAGATCAGCAGACTTACAAGACACTTTAAGAGAAACTTGAGGAAATAAGGTAGCCTTAGTGAGATCTGATTATCTCTCACATACCCCCTTTAATCCTGAAGGATGCACATATTCAGGAGAGATTGGAGTCTTAGCAATCTGTACATTGACACATGAATATAGATGCTAGGAGGTTCATAGAGGAGGCACCAGAAGGTATGTTAGTGTCCAAGCACTGAATGTGTTCCCCAATTCATCAGCTAATCTACTGGCCTTACCTAACTGGAACAACCTGGGTCAATTATTGGCTCATTATTAAGTTATGTTGATACAAAAGCAATCCCCAGGAAGCTGACTTTGAAAATAAGTTTAAAACGTTAACTTTTTAAAAAATTAGAAATGTGAGTAGCTACCTGATACAAAGGTGACAGACTACAGTATTATTCCTGGTAAGTAACAAACAGAAAATAAAAACTCAACATCTGAGACGGGCAATTAAGAAGCTAGTATTCTTCTAATGCATTGTTAAAATGTGTTACTTTCAGCAGCAAAAAAATTATGACGTATGCAAAGAAACAGGCAAGTGTTATCCATATACTATGGGAAAAAGAGCAGTTAACAGAACAGTATCTTGGGGGTAGAGAGGTGACTCAGTGGTTAAGAGCATTGGCTGCTCTTGCAAATGACCCAGGTATGAGTCCCAGCACCCCACATGGCAGTTAATAACCAATCATAATTCCAGTTCCAGGGAATTTAATGCCCTCTTCTGACCTCTGTGGGCATAGGCGCACCTTCACACATGCAGGCAATACACTCACACACATAAGCAAAAATAATAATCAAAAAACTGTGTCTTTAATGTTAGATTATTTGGCAGCCAAGGATTTAAAAAATGATATTATGAATCTGTTCAAAGAACTAAAAAATTAAAAGAAAGTAAAATGTTATTGATTTATCAAAGAGGAATAAGTAAGTTTTAAAAGAATCAAATAGAAATTTTTGAATGGAAATGATTCATCATATACAAGAAAACACAATGAATTAATAACCAAGTTTCTGTCAGGAAAAAAGAAAGATGAGAAGATAGTGGGATGACATATTTAAAATGCTGAAAAGACTATATTGGAGCAAAGTTTCAGTATTAAGTTGGAATTAGGTTAGTACTGCTCTAAAACAGATTGTGATAAGTTACTTCACACATTTTTATGTGATCCTGGGTAAGATTAAACATTTACCGATAACAAATCATAAAAATTATTTTAATTCTTTGGTACACATATAATTACTTATTTTTTTATTTTGTAGGAAAGGGTTTCCTTGTAGTCCTAGCTGGACTGGAACTCACTATATAGACTAGGCTGGCTTCAGTCTCACAGAGATCTGCCTGCCCCTGCCTCTTGAGTGCTGGGATTAAAGGTGTGTGCCACCAGGGCTGGCTGGTACATACATAATTTCACAATTTGTTAAAGATGAAAGTAAATTAAATACCAATGAAATGGGTGAACTTGTTTATTTCACATAAATAATTAAATATTGACTGAATATTTGATCCTGAATGATGTAGAATATCTTCAATGCTTTTCAGAGTTGATAATTTTTCTTCAATGTATATTTTTATTGAATTTTTGTGCAATTCATACAATACATCTTAAGCATATTTAAACCTCCTCCCCTATCTACACCCACATAGTCTCCCACCAGATTTCATGCATTCTGTCATATATATTAAGGGATACCTCACTCAGCAGTGATAGCTGCTAATGGTTCTTCAGCTAAGGTTAGGGTCTCTTACCTGTTTCCCCAGTTCTATGCTGGGATTTTGTCTGGTTTGAATTTTCATGGGTCTTGTGCATGCTGTCACCATTGCTACAAGTTCGTATGAACAAGTTCCCAGAAGCCTGGAAAACTGTTTCCTTGTGGTTATCTACTATCCTCAGCGTTTACAGTCTTTCCGTCATCCCGTTTTCCATAATGGTCTCTGAGCCTTGGGTGTCAGATGTTTAATATAGGAGTCCTATCTAGGGACACACACTCTGCAGTCTCTTATTCTTTACATTTTGGCCAGTTGTGGCTTTCTGTGTAATTGGTATTTTGACTATATAATCATCTATGTTGAAAACGCTGCTTTGTATAAATACAAAGTACAAAATGTTGGGAATTATTTCCTAATCTCGAGCATAATAATTTAATAATTTTAAAAAATGGAATTCAAGGGGCTGGAGAGATGGCTTAGTTAAGAGTGCTGGCTGCTCTTGCTGAGGACCTGGGTTCTGTTCCCAGGACCCACATGGTAGCTAACAACTATCTAGAACTCTAGTTCCAGGGGAATCCAACACCCTCTTCTGACTTCCATGGACATTGCATGACAGGAGTGTACTTACATGCATGCAGGCAATACACTCATACACATAAAATAAAAATAATAAATAAAAATGGAACTCAAGTCAGAAACTCAAACATCAGTTTTTGAAATCAAACATTCTAACACAGTCTAATCCAATGATAGTGCTAATTTGATACATACTGAGTAAATCAATGTTTTTATAAGATTGGGTTGGCCTGTGGGCATGTCTGTTGGAGATTATCTTGATTATGGTAATTAATGTGGGAAGACCCAGCCTACTTTGGGTGGCACCATTCCAGGGTCTGAGTCCTGGGCTGGACTGGAGAAAGTGAGCTGACTAGTGGGCAGGTTTGCACGGGTTTTCTCTCTGCTCTTGCCTGTGGCTGTGAAAGCTGCTTCAAGTTCCAGCCTGACTCCCTGTAACGATAAAATCTAACCTGGAATTGTAAGCCTAATAAACCTTTTCTCCCTTAAAGTTACTGTTGTCAGAGTATTTTGTCAGAGCAACAGAAATGAAACTAGGATAATTTTGAATTAATTGTTGGTAATTGTGTGTTCAGAAACTATTCTATATTGCTAAATTCTCAACCCTCTACATTCAGTTACACAATCCCTTATGAGGTCATGACACATAATTTAAGAAGCTGTGTTGAAGACTTGAGTAACACTGTCAGTTAACTTGACCTGATTGATGTATAGAATGAACACTTCACCTAACAATATCAAGAAGCACATTTTTTCCAGTGCATACAGGACATTCTGCCATTCTGCTAGGATATAACATATTTCTTATAAATTTTAAAGAATTAAAACCATGCATATACCCTTATCCCAACAGAATTAAACTTTAATTAAATAACAGAAATGTGGGAAATCTGTAAATATTTAGAGACTATAAAAATGAATAACCCCTAGATCAATGAAGAGATCACAGGGAAAGAATGTAGTGAAATGAAAAGAATATAAGAACATATAGAATGCAGCATAAGCAAAGCTTAGAGGAAAATTTGTGTTCTGAGACTCCTACATTGGAAATGGAAAAAGATCTTAAATTCATAACCTAAAATTCTTCCTTAGGAAATAAAAAAAGGGACTGGGGAAGATGCCTCATTGGGTAAGAGGGCTTGACGAGCAAGCACGAGGACTTGAGTTCTAATCCCTAGCACCCATGAAAAAAGCCAGGCATGGCTGTGCATACCTGAACCCAGGGTTGGGGGACAGAGGCATGTGGATCCCGAGAGCTTGCTGGCCAGCCAGCCTAACAGATAGAAAGGTGAGCACTTGGTTCAGAGAGACCCTGTCTCAAGGAGAACAACAGAG